AAAAATTGTTGCAATAAATTGCATTATTTTGTAGTACGAGTATTAAAATTGCATTTAGTATGCATTTTGATGTTTCAAAATTGAATTAAATTTAATATTTATTGCACTGAAATTGCATTGCAGCGCATATACAAAATTATTTCGAAAATTGCTTTCAAAACTAAAATCAAAACGAGTGTTAGGAGCTGTGCGGGTACATCTTACATGCAATTTAAAGGCAATAAATTGAAAAGAGCCTCCTTTGCAGGAGACATCCAGACAAAGTTTGTGTGATAAATGCACTCAGACGAAGCCACTTAACTGAAGATGCAATTGCGTCTGAGTTGCTGCAGCAACACTTTGACCTTTTTTCTCTAAGTGGAATGCGTAAGTTGCATTTTGCCATGCGGCAACGCCTTCTACAGGGATTGAAAGGATGCGTTTAGTAAAAGCGAAATTCTATTGACACGTTTGTTGTTACAGGAAGCTAAAGATACACAAAGAACTTCAAGTTGTGGTATTGGTTGGAAGGCATAACATTTCATTAGTGTTCGTGTTCCTTTTGAACTTCATTTTACATTAAATACAGCTTCAGTTCATCACAATTTGATTATTTTAATGCAATCAAGTTTGTAGTGAAAATATACTCAACGCAAAACTTTATTATAAATGATTTAAAATTTCATGAAAACTCTATGAAAACTAATGGAATAGAGTATACTTGCACACCTCCCCAAATTAAAGATTTCTCAAGTTTTATTCTACTCTTCTCTAAGATATTTCAAGATGATATTTGCACATAGATTAAACACGCAGTAGTGGTAGACATTGATTTTTTTAGAAAAAAAAGGAAATATAAGTAATTTAAAGTCAACAAAATGAGACAAAAATAAAATATCATTAATATTGAAATATAATTAAAAAGAATTTAATAAAACATGAGAACAAAATATCACATATAACAAAAAAATATGTAATTTAACACAACAATGTTACACTTCTTTAAGGTAAATATTTCTGTAATTGTTATAAATGCAGGCACAACCACGAGTCTGGAGGTAGACTCTTCAGAAAATAAATTGTTTTTTTGATGTAGTTTTTTAAAATAGTCTATTTTCGGTATATCCTAGTAACTCTAAACAAGTATTCGTATCCTGAAAGTCATGAAGAAATGTGATGTAAAGTCTTATTGGCATATAATCACTTCAGAAAACTATGACCTCTACCTTACTTAATTGTCTTTTTAGGATTCTACTAAATATTTTTGTATCAACACAATTTTTTATTTTAAGAAGACCTTTAGTAACTTTGGGGAATGCTTAGTACTAAGCATACTACTAAACTTAGTAGCTTAGTAGTACACCTATTTATCTCTCTACCTTTATTTCTTTATATTCTTACAGCATCCGATTTTACAGCGTTTTTCTTTATAGTTATCTGTCGCAATGCTTATCCATACTTATTTAAAAAAGATCTATAGTAATCTTAGAAATAACCTTCATAACCTTAGTAGTATATTAGGCTGTGGTTGTATTTCTCTCTTTTTCTCACCATTGATTTATTCCTTTATAATTCCAATGCAACTATTTCTGAATCGGGTTTCTTTATGAATCTTTATTATCATCCTCGTCCTTGTCCATTTTTATATTAGAAAATCATAAGAAAAATCTTAGCAAATGTTTTGTAGTACAATAGGCTGTAGACCTGATCTCTCATCTCACTCATCTCTCTCTGCTTCTCTCTATCTATTTATCTCTCTCTCACTTTCTCTCTCTTTATCTATCTTTATCTCTCCCTCTCTTTTTATATATCTTTATCTTTCTCTCTCTCTATCTCGCCACAATACGTGCTTTTAATTTTAAGAAGTCCTGTTATAACGTCAGCAAATCTTTAGTAACATGGTAGAATGTATAGTTCTCTGTCTCTCTCTCTCTTTCTCTCTTTCTCTCTCTCTCTCTCTCTCTCTCTCTCTCTCTCTATCTATCTCTTTATATATTTATTCATTTTCTCACTGTATCCGTTTTTGTATTAGCTTCCTTCATATTTATTCGCCACAATACTAGTTCATGATCACTTATCTATTTAAATTTATGAATATAAATTAAAATAAAAAATTAACCATGTCATTTATGGGAAATTGATACAGTATAATACAGCTGGTATTAATTTTATATGCAAGATTCTGTACTTACATCAGTTTCAAACCGTTATTTAGACATTCCACCTATTAATTTTCCTTTAATAGAATTTATGCTATAATAGAAAATTAATCGCTTACGTGTACCGAATTAAAAAATTTTGCTTGCAACATAATTAATATGGAATTCTAGCTATTTCTTATACACTCCAAGTGGAGAATATTGCAGTTCTTTTTCCAAAGAAGAAGAAGAAGCAGGAATTCAATAACAGAAGCATTCCTTTTATGGCCAGAACGTATGAAATAATTATGCAGCATAGGAAATGGTTTGATTTGTCTTTCCTTTCAGAAAAGAATTACACTTAAGTGGAAATAAACTAGATAACAGAACATTGAATGAGATCGAAGCGAAAAAGTGGACTAAGTCGAAGTGAATTAAGCTAAGAACTAACTTGCTTGAGGAGAGCTGACTCAGGCTTAGCGAACTTACGCATTCATGCC